CAGGTTGTTTGCAGATGTGATCGTGGAGCTGCAAGATCTGGCCGTTCATGCAGAAGGTGCTGGCTTTCTCATCAGGCACTTGGGTGGCCAGGCTGCAAAGACTAGCGCGGGACTTTTCGTGACTTTTCTCGGTGGCCGCGTTGGCATCTGAGTGCTCTTCTTGATCACTGGCAGATCGTAGTGAAACATAGAAACCACATTGGTTGTCTGTTGGTACAATGCATACTTCTGAAGGGACTAGCTCAGATTAGGCGACTCCATGATGGACATAGGGGGTGAGGATAGAACACGGTTTAGAAAAAAGGTGGGCTGGAAACCCAGGAAGGCAGGAAACGAAGAACAGAGCCCATGAACCTAGACGGCGACAAACCTTTGAGCAAAGGATAAAAGAGAGTTAAAGTAGGAGAGAGACAGAAGAAGAGGGAGGAAGAAGAAAGAAAAAGCACAAGAAAGCTAAGAACAAACAAAAAGGGAAAGACTGAATGCGCAAGCAAGCGCAACATTGCAAAAAGGATGGAAAAGGGTAGACAACGCATGAAAGAAACTAACAAGAAGAAAGACATGGAAACGTCGAGAAAAAGGGAATGCATTCATTTTCAACAAATGACCAAAACAACAAACAAATAGAAACATGTAAAGAACTATACAGACAAGTTAGTGTTGACCAGCAAGAAACAGAAAAGGAAAGTAAAACATACACAGAAAGAAGAGGAAAGACAGGCAGACAGACATCATTGTGTTGTGCACGACCTTTTGAAATGACCCCTGTTCAATTGATCCTAAGATGCGAGCATCTTCTTGGCCTGGCAGTGCAAGATGGCGCAGATCCTGAAAAATGTGTCCTGCCCGCCCCTAAAAACGAATTGGCGGCTGCCAGAAGAACCACAGCTGCGTGGCGCATGGGGTGGTTGCCTGAAGGGCTTGAAGTGGAAGCGGTGAAAGGAGAAAAATGCAGCGATTTTGGCTTGCATGGGGCGGCCACTGTTTGATGGTATGAGTTATCGAATGTTTTTAGAATATAAAACCCTCTGAGTATTAGCCGTGGATCCCACCATGCAAAACAACCTGCTGGTTGCGAGGCGTGGTCCTACCCGGATCTTGGTGCAGTCCAACCAAATAACCCCCCCAACTGGTTTCTTGGACGATTCAGTGGTTTGGGTGGACCTAGCAAAACTCAAGGCCTCCACAAAGCGCCTTCACTCGACAAACGGCTTCTCGGAAATCAGTTTCTTTGGCAGGATGGAAAAGAAAGGCCGGTGGCTGGTGCTTGTGCTCCTTACAGTGTTTGAGTGGGGACACCAAGCTATATCAGACTTCCAAAAAGAGTTCAACAATGAAGAGCCTTTTTGAAGCAACAGTCAGGCGCATGGGTGTGTGATTTTGTTTCAGAGCCGCACTCCGAGGCCCTTCGCTGAGACCTCCTTTGCTCTGCAAAAAAGATGGGAGGGGAGGGAGCTGATGAGCTAGGGCATGTGTTCTAACTGAAAGCTAGCATGGCATTGATGACTTTTCCGTGCAGTTGATGTCAAGAAAGTCTGGATCCACAGAGACGCAGCCGTACAATGTGTAAGGGCATGCCCAAACTGTCACAGTCTTTTGTTTGCATTTTGAGATGGTGCGTGCAAGCGGTTGAAGAGTTTGTCTTGCTAGTGCTACTCGACCTGCTTGCTTTTGAGGAAGGGGTTGCGGCGCTCAATGGATATGCTGTTCGTCTGGACTGGCACCTTTCAAAATGAAGCCAAAGCTGCATATGCAGCAGGAGATCATGAGCCTTGACATTGGTTGTGTCAATTATGTACCGATAGCGACTGCCACCTCTAAAGGATATGTGCTGTGTGTTCTTTGGCTTATTGTCCAAGGATGTCGATGCCCTGGATGCAAAGGCAACTGGACCGTCCAAATGCACAGTGGATCCTGAATCCTAGCCGAATCTTGCATGCGTGTGGCATGTGCATGTCACGGCTTGCATGGTGCATGTTTGTCGTGTACAGGCTTTGGCTGCTGGGTTGTTGAAGATTTCATAGGCCGAGACTCTGGGTTGCGTGACATGTTGCACGCAAACTCATGAACACATGCATGTCACAGTGTGTTGCGTCAAAGCTCATGGGCTCATGCATGTCATGCATGCAGTGGTGAATTATCTGACGCAAGGTTGCAGAGTTACACGTAGATGTCATTGCTTTGGGATTGCTGTGAGAGCAACCTCTCGGCGCTTAAGTAACTATAGACGGCTCTGGGTGAAGAAGAACTGGTTGAAAAAGTGCGTGCAATGAAAAAATGAGTGATGCCGTGCTGTGGGGGTGGGACAGGCAAGGTGGTGTTATCTCTTCGAGCGCTTTTCTTTGGTAGACTTCAATTCGAGCAGAAAACCTAAGGTCGAGCAAAAATAGAGCGAACACTTTTTCTGCTCAAATGAAGCTACAGGACTACTATATATGTGGTTTTCCACTTTCAGGCAGCAAACACATGTTTAGCTGTGACACGTGTCCGTGTGCTGCAGGTTTTATGTTTTCATTACTTGTCTTTGGTTTGACGAAGACCAGAAGAGATTTGACCTCCAATCAGGGAAACCATCAGAGATCCATTCCCAAACAACGGACTCATGGGCACCTCGAATATGCCAATGTATGTGGGGTGGATGTCAACGGGGTCTGTACTGATTACTGATCGTCCCAGCTCGGGTCATGTGGGGTCGGACCTCGATCGGAAGAGACCGACCTTTTCGGCGGGGATCGGATGATCGAAGGGTCCGGTCAGAAAGCATCCGAGCCCGCCGTCAGTCCGGCCGGGAATAGGGCCAGTTGGCGTCTGAGGGGGTTCATCAGTTGGAAGGCAACACTTCTTTGGGTGGTGACCTTTCAGAGATTGTGTCACGTGTTCAACTTGTACGTCGCCAAGAGCAAATTAGTAGGCAGTTCGGGACACGTCAGACTATAATTATACATCAATGGTTGATTGAAGCTTGGGACTTTAGTTAGGGATGGATTCCCAAATATGTTTCAACATGGGCTAAAACCCGCACTGTCACCGTCATGGCTCAAAACCAGGCCTCGCAAACGCCCGGGCTGCTGTTTCTAACCAGCAGCCTCAACAGCTACACATTTGGGTTGGTGATTGGTAAACCATCCCAATGTACAGGATTGTGTTTTTCAACTTTCCCATAAACATGTTAGCGGGTCAGTCATATTCTATCGACATGCATGCATTATCATGGATTGTTTGGGACAGTTTCACATGTCCAGTGTCAACAGGAGAGTCGAATCGAGAACTCTCTCCGTCCGACGCTGCTGTCCCACCCTAAGAAGTCCTTATAAGGACTATATTATATTAAACTATAGTACTTATAAGTTATAGTAACTTCGTCAAGGACATTCCCGAACTGAGAGGTATACCCTACTACTTATCGTCAGACCCTTCAAAGTGGACTCCCGCAATAGGAACTCCTCCCGCCTTTGTTGGACTTGGCGGTCCACACAGCCCTTCGACCCCGGGTGCTGAGGCCAGTGGCACCGTCCTCCGCGTGGATAGCCCGCAGGAGGGCGGCTTCGTGACGGTCCGGGCGGCTGAGACGGGCGGAGGTTTGGGCCGGGTGCCACGGGTTTGGATTTCCCGTTTCCCTGGAGACTTGGGCCATGCCAAGCGCAATCAGGTCAGTACGCCAAAATATCGGTCAGTTGCTGTGAGGGTGACGTTGTAGGCCCTGAAGATGGAAGACAGATTGTGCTTTCCCTACACCTCCAGGTTACCGAACCTCAGGTTCGGTAGCTCCTGGACCCGACTGGCACCCCGGGCCGCCGGGCGTCCCACCGAACCGAAATGGTTCGGCCAAAGGGGGCGACTGGGCGCCACTCGCAGGTCCGGCGATTCGTGGCGTTCGTGAAGTTTAGTTAACAGAGGTTGAAGGACCCGAACTAGACTATCCCCTGGGAGTCAAAGACTATAAAAAGAATGGTCTGACTAGGGGAACTGATTTCGGGAACTTCCTTTACTTCAGCCGGTCAAAATATACTCTTTGGACTTCTAGGGTATCCCAGTTCGGTACCCCAGAATGGTTCTATTTACGGTCACCTAGCAATGGTTAGTTAGCTGGATGGCACAGAGGGAGGAGGGTTTGGACTTTCTTGGTGCCCAAGGAGCTGGTGACTTAGCAAATCTCAGACACGACCTGTTTGGGAAGAGATTTCTCGCCGAAAGAGGGACATCAACACCCCGTTTCTCGGCCGTTTCTCGGCAAATAGACCAGCTAGCCCCACACAGGGAGTGTTTGGCTTTGGGCATTGCGGACTTTGGGGGCAATCTGATCTTTTTTCAGGGCCAGAGGGGTGCCAAGGAGTGGCGATTGGTGCCCAGAAAAAAGGACGGGCCCTCCCGTAGTGGAGCCATTTGTTTGTGGATGTCTGCGGATGTCGAGTGTCCTCGAAACCATGGAACCAAAGTTCAGGACCTTCAGTACGTGACCCTTTGATATCATCAGGATGAGGTCACTTGGGTCATAAGGTCACTTAGAAACTCCAAAGAGGTCACGAACTGAAGGTCCTGGGCCATGGGTGTTCTTTTTTTTGTATCTTTTCTTTCACCTGTCGGACTCGTCTTCCGGTGACTCAGCGTGACTGACGGAGCCAAAGAATCAGCAGCCGCACAGCACGAGCAGCAGAGTGCGCGTGTCCGAGAACCATCAGACCTGTTCAATTGGCTCGAAGCAGCAGATGTCTCTGCTTCTTTTCCGAACTATCTTCCAGAGATGGGCCATGGTTCGAAATGACTCAACCGTTTTTGGGGTTCCATGTTCATCGTTCCCAACGACCTTCCCCGCACGAGCCGAAGGGTCGTTCTTCCAAGCCGACTCAAGGATACGGAGGATTCCTGAGCTCTTGACAAACATGCCAAGAGGACCAACCCGACCCTACAGGTCTCCCCCCTTTCGAGGGTTGTGAAGGGCCAAAAACCATACAGGTCGAACCATTGGTGAGCTGTAGAGTCAGGTGGTACCAACGTCAGTTCTCTCCAAGAACAGTTTGCCATGTCCTACCTGACCCTTGCCGTGCTGCTGCACTGGGCCACCGCTGCAATTGCTCCCGCGCACGCGGGCGCCAGCGCGGGCGCGCAGCGCGCGCGGCCGGTGATCATCAGCACCGATCCAGGTGGGCGGACAGTTCTGGCAGTTGGGAATGGTTCGAGAGTTGTATATATATATATATTTGGACGTTCTCGAGGGGGTTTGGACGTTCTCGAGGGGGTTTGGGCGTTTGGCGAACTTGCCGATGATCAGGCATGCTTATTATAAATCTTATGCTAAGTAATACTCATCTGTACTCGTCTATAATTGCTCAACAGATTGCTCTTTTTCCTACCCATTATCTGACAAGGAACAGCACGATACTGCCCGTGTCAGACTCGATCGTGCTCGATTTCGTTAGCCGTCATACCTCAAGTTCTATCCTACACTACCAAAGAAACTCTGGGCCTGCCTGCCTACAGGTCCTGCTTAGATAGGTAGTATACCTACAGGTTCTGGTTCCTACAGATCCTATCCTACCTACCTCAGTTACTATCCTGTATCACAGGTTCTTGCTTTCATCCTCCAGGTCTGCTGTTTGGCCGCCCACTCCTCGAGGCATCGACGATGCCATCGCTCTGCTCCTGGCGCTGAGCTCGCCGGAGTTGGAGCTGCGCGCCATCGGCGGCCCGGTCTTGGAGCTTTAAGACCCTCTCCGACAGCCCTCTGGAACCTTGATGATCCAATTACCCCATATTATCAGACCCAAACAACCCCTAACAGTTTCAGAAGATCACGATGATGAGTGAGATCTTTTTTTGTTTTAGTGGTGGCGGTGGTGGTAGTGGAAGACCACCGCCAGGCCCAAAGTTCTGCGCTTGTCACGCAATCTGCACAATCGAAGTAAAACGGCTCCGATCTCTGCCACGAAAAGTCAACTTTGGACCACCAAAACACGGGGTTTCCCTTGCGCCTGCCACGGAAAGTGACCACCAAGTCCGACAATGCGCACAGCGCCACAGCGCCACAATGAGAGCGCAGTCGAGACAGGAACATCCGCGCCAGCCACAGAGTTCCTGAAGATATTTTGAGGTGAATGAATTCACCGTTCACTGCAGCAAATTCACCGCGCACAGATCTGATTGAACACCCAGGCTTAAGACTAATGGTGAGAATGAGATCACACTGTTTGGTGGGGGAAATACGTACTTAGATCAGTCTAAGATCAATGCAACATGTTTTCCTAACTTGGTTGGTTTTAATAGACGAACGCACATAACTTTTTGCACCGTTGAAAGTCTTAGAAGGTATCCAACGAGTTGTCCAACCTTATAACTTTAATCGTGGGTTCTCCGAGTACTAGGGTCATCACCAGTCATCACGAGGCTGCGCTTCGTTTTCTCCAGACACTGCCATGTATTTGCTGATCAGTTGGTGACGGGGGGGGTATATATATATATACACATATTCTGGGCTTGCAGATTGTCGATCATTGATCTGAAAGCCTTGAAACTGTTTTGAGACGAACCACACCCCAACCCCCATGAAATTGGAGGATTAAGGGTGAACGTGGGGAATACTAGCTTCCAGTGCGTCCTTCAGTACTTGGGTTCCGGAGCCCTTCAAAGGTTGTGGTGTCCATAGCCCAGATTGCTGGTTCATGTACTGTTCTCCAGTTGACGAACCCCAGTGCCTTATGCTGTGACACCGGATGATTTGGGAACAGAGGCACTCAATGGCCACCTCAATGATGAGTGAAGTGGACGACGACCTACAAAAACCGCTTGCAGCATGAAGAATTTGGCAAATTGTGGAGATCTGTTCAGTAAGCTGGTCGACCAATCCATATGACACCCACCCAGTCAGTGGACTGGTTTCCACGGACAGTTCGGTTCATGTTTTCCAGGGACTTCTGACTTGGGAGTCGCTCTTCGCGCGTCCGGCTGGGTAAGGGCCGATTGCTAAACCACACACCCCAAATCTGTTTGTTGTATACAGGCATTGGTAAAGGTAAGCGACAAGACTGTGGTCGCTTTACCACGCGCCTGGAAGCCGAGTCTTTGCGCCAGGTTTGATGAGCCTGTGCCAAAAACTGGTGGTGGTCAAGGTGTGCTTGGACCTGGCCAAGCAGGACCGTGGTACATACAAAACAAAAGGAAAACATACTTTTCTGTACGTGATGCACGTCGAGGATCGCCGCTGCGAGACGGGCGCCGTCGTGCGCTTCAACCGCCTATACCAACGATCGACGGTCGCGCGCGTGCAAGGATTGCCTCCGCGAGGACATTGAGATGGGCCCGGTTCCGCTGTATCGCGGGGAGACATGCGTGCAACGAGGTGTTTTGTGTCGGACCCCCAGAGCTTGGAGGGTGGAGCCCACTTCCATGTCTGGCAGCTGTTGGCTCATGTTGCCACTAAAGCCACCATGCATGGACACTTTACTAGACTCACTCGCCGTACTTGACCTGCGCATCATCATACCCCCTTTCCTATCACCCGCAGCCATGCCTCAAATAATGATTTCAAGACAGCTGCCATAGCTCTCTAAGTCGCTAGGACTATAGGACCCTCTTACATCCCAAGACCACGAGCTGCTTACTGTTGTAGACAGTCAGGTGCAAGGGCAATGAATCTGAATCACGACTCCTTACCTCATAGCCGCCTTGTCTCCCTTCTGTTTCCTTTTGTCTCCCTTCTAGTTTGCCTTCTATTGTGTCCGCCTTGTCTGCCTTCTGTCTGCCTTTGTCTCCGGTCTTGTCTCCCTTCTTGTCACTGTGTCCGTCTTGTCTCCCTTCTGTTTCCTTTCGTCTCCCTTCTTGTCTCCCATGTTGTCCTCCTTCTTAGTTGGTCATTTTGTCCACCTTGTCTTCCTTCTTGTCTCCGTGTGTCTCCGGTCTTGTCTCCCTTCTTGTAGGCCATTGTGTCCGTTTTGTTTCCCCTCTGTTTCCTTTGTCTCCCTTCTTGTTGGGCACTGTGTCCGTCTTGTCTCCCTTCTGTTTCCTTTTGTCTCCCGTCTGGTCCCCCTTCTTGTTGGTCATTGTGTGGGAGAGTTTGAAGGAGAAGAAGGTTTTTGAAAGTTTTTGGGTCGAAGATGAAAAGAACGGAGAGGAAGGTTTTATGCCTTTAGATGACGAAGAAGCCTTTAGATGAACATGAAGTTTTTGCTCTCCGTCGGGTCCCCCATAAGGGCGGTGGAAAAGGGCGAGGTAGGGGTAAGAGAAGAAGAGGAGCATTTAGGTCCTATACTGGATCTCAGAACAAGACGAGCGGCGCCAAGGCCAACATGGCCGAGGATGAACAAGAACCAGACCAGTCCTACTGGGGTAAGGGAAGTCAAAAGCTAAGAAAGGAGGCAAATTCAAGTCCAAGAGCAAGTTCAAGTTTGATGTAACATTCATGGCATCTGGGTATTTATTCATGGTAACTGGGTTGTAGATTTGCTGCTCCCACCCTACCTTCCACCACATGTATGATTGGCTGGCAGTCTTTACAAACATACTCGCTTGGTCGCAAGCAAGACGAGGAATCACATCAATCTCGCAGGCCCGCAAACACGCCAAACATTTCAAATGGGGACGTGCAAGGTGCCGCGTCGTCGACCGCACGATGTGCCCGTGTCGCAGACCGCATTCGGTGCCTCGGCAACGGTCGGGCATACGATTCCAACCCCCCGTAGATGACTGGCTGTCTATAACCAGCATCGATAAGCCCGAACGTTTCGGCCCACTCAAGTCCAGATTAACTGCCGACGCCGCGATGTTTAGAGAGCTTTTAGATACCGTCTTAAAGATCCTGAGGGTGGAGTTAATTGCAGACTTTAAGACCGTATATTTCGTCAAAGGAGCTCAGAACGTTTTCCTTTACCGTGTTTTGAATTTCTCCAACCACCGTAGAGGCAATCAAGGATTCGTGACATTCATTAGCAAGTTTGAGATTCTCTTGCGCCGGCTTCGAGCCTCATGGATGGACACCATGCCCAAGCCAGAATTGACCCGGGAGTTCCATGACAATCTTGCCGTTTACAATCGTGTATACACAATGATTGGTTGATTGCAATACCGCAATAGCGTCAGGTAGGAGCAGCTCCTCGGAGCACGCGGCATCTTGCGCAACTCGATGACCGAACTTGGTATCCACAGCCCTGGCCTCACCGGCAATGCGAACCAAAGCCGTCACGGAGCTGCTGGAGTCCCGAAAAAAAGAGAAGTGCGAGGTAGCGGAATCGTGCGACGCCCATATTTCGTTGATTCTTGGGTTGCGTCTCCGATGGACTCAGTGCGCAGCACGGCCCTAGTGTTTAGCTGTTTAGCTGGTTGACATCTTGTGCAGCTACCGTGCTGATGACGTCTTTGTCGTCGATCCCTTGGAGTGGAAACGTGGATTGCTTGAAGGGTGAGAGCGAAACGGAATTAACAGCGTTTAGAGGTTTCCTTGAAATGCGTTGAGACATCCACGTCGGGTTTACCGAGGCAGAGTGGCAACGCCGTCGCGGACCTCATGATCGGCGTGGTCGCCGCGCTCGCGCAGAGGCCTGATGCAGTCGGTTGTTGGGCGCGTTGCGCGGGAAAGGCTGCGCTGGAGGCCGTGGTGGACGCCATCGGAGAGACGCCATCGTCGGAAAGCGCCCAGCCCCGCTACCAGTACCAGCGCTGATGTTGATGAGGCGTAGCGCTAGCGAAGATTTAGTTAGAAAGAAAAACCACTATCACCTTCCATATGGGACTCTAGATTGTGAGGGTCTCTTAGATCATGGGTTTCTAGATTGCTAACAGTGTTCACTTTTTCACCAAACAGTGTGGACATGTGTGGACACGCTTAGGGCTTCTGACGGTAGGTGTTACAATATTTGGTTTTAGTTGTTGTAAAGGTATAAGTAACTTACCCTAGAAGAAGTCAGTTATATCTTAGTTATAACTCGAAGTTATAACTAAGTTATTTCCTATTTATAAGTTCCATAAGTAGTTCATAACTTACTTATAACTAAGAACTAACTACCTTCTTTTTCCAAAAAAAGACAGTTCTTTTTCCGCGTGCGAACGGAGAGATCTCAGCCAAATGCTACAGCCGATGCTAGATCTCAGTATGCAGTCGATACTTTGATCGATCTCCACCAGCTCGCCAGTAGCCATCGAGTCGGTTGGTCCAGTCGATGCCAGGTCACCTCGTCTGTCAGGCGCCACGTCGAACCCCACTTGGTGGATCCAGAGAACCGCAGGCGGTTGGAGCAGCTCAAAAGGATTGCTGAAACGAGTTTCTCGCCAACGGGTGGCCGACACAGGGCCGACGAAAGGCCGACATCACGAAATGCAACCCTGGGGTGTGTGGTATGTATACATGTATTGGGGCCGACATATGGCCGACACGGCGACGGCGACGGCGTTCTGACGTGGGGCCGACACGCGGCCGACAACCGAAAAAAAAACTTATATGTACGGAACGTCGTCATATATAGATACAAACATATACATATATATACAAACAAAAGGGATATAGATATAAGGCGAATCTATACATGTTTCCGCCTCGCCCTGCTATCGAAGCGCGTGTAGTCCTGCTGCTGACTTCGTGTCTTCGCCATGGACTCCGTCACGGTCGACATGCCTCAAACTATATATATCCTGCACACTTGATCCAAAAACTGCGCAATGTTTTTTTGTGAAACTCAGTTTTGTAACTATGAATAACTCGAAATAACTTTGTATAACTAAGACCTAACTAAGTTATAACTTCCACCTAACTCCACCCGGTTTAGTTGTAAATTACTTACATCTAACTTGTTCTAGCCTGACTAAGTTATAACTCTATGTTAAATTCCTTAAGTATAACGATAGTTATACATACTTATCCTAATACAAGTTCTGCTATCGAAATACAAGTTTACTTGTAGTTCCCTAACTAAAGCTATAACTTACTTATAACTAAAATAGTATATCGTAAGCACCTGTGTTAGATCGCTGCGTCGCGCTGGCGTGCCCGGCTAATTCGCTGCTATCTACAGTACAATGACGCCTCTCGAAATCGTCAAAGCGCATTTCGACTGCGCAGGATCGCAGAATCTGCGTGGGTGCGGCGGGTGCTTCTAGCCACTGCGCTCTCGTTGTGGCACCGTGCGCATTTTCGGACATGGTGGTGACTTTTCGTGGCAGGCGCAAGGGAAACCTCATGTTTTTGTGGTCCATCGTCGACTTTTCGTGACAGGTGTGGCGCAAGGGATCGGAGCCGCTTTACTTCGAAGTGCAGATTTAATTTTGTGGCAGGCGCACGCTTTGGACATGGTGGTGATCTTCGAAGCGCTCTGATTAGTTCCATTGAAACCCTAAGGTCCAAAGCCAGGGCTTTGAAACCCTAAGGTTTTTAGGGGTTAGGGTTTTGAAACCCGAAGGGCTTTCTGGAAACTGTAAGGTTTTTAGGGGTTAGGGCTTTGACACCCTAAGGGAAAAATAACGGTCACCTGGGAATTGGCTCCAAGTTCAGAACAGCTTGAACTCATGAGAGTTAGAGAGTGAAATGAGTGGAACAGGAAGGCAGTGCATGAAGATCGGATTCCCTGCAATCGAACCAGGCGATCTGCCAGGAGCGGTTGAGAGACCCATGGAACCCAGATCTGCGTGGTATATGGGATGGGCATGGATGGCGCCTCCAAGTACCTCCTTAGCAGGTATTTGGGCCCTCCAAACCGCCAAGCCCACCCCAAACACCTTCTCCGAAGGCCCTTGGATCCCGAGGGTATGTTGTTGTTCAACCTCTCGGTATGTTGCTTGCCCGTGGATCCAGGTATCAACTTCGGATCGTTGAAGAACACCACGCAGCTGGCGCGCGCGATACGTGTCGTCTAGAACTGTGCGCGTGACACGTGAGGGAAGACGTTGGAGATGCCAAAAACCTGAGCATGGGAGTGGAGACATTATAGGTTGGTTATGGTTGGTTAATTTTTTGGGGGGCAAGGTTTTTTTCGTGTAGAGCCAGCATAGTGACATAGTACCCAAACTGATTGACCCCTTCCCAAGAGAGGTTGAACAACACCATAGCCCATCCCATATGTCTCAACTTCTCCTGGTCTTTCAAATCCGGTCTGACCGGAGACCCAAACGCGACTGGTGGGTTGGCGTATGAATCCATACATTGGGGTGGTTGTTTTTACGAATCACCTGATTGGCATACATACCAGCTCCATGGAGTGTTTGGAATTGTTACAAAACGCTACACCACCAGGGTTCTCCCATTCTTTTCATTGTCCTACTGAGGGCTAGGTGGGGTCGGGTCATATATGGGAGAGGCGGACCCCCAAAGCGACGGCGCCCAAAAAACGTGTGGAATCCGTCGAGGCGCAGAATGCCTTGACGGTGTTGGCGCTCGCCGGGCGGGAGGACGTGCCGGTCTATTTGGGCGCCGAGCTCCTTGGAAGCCGGTCGCCGAAGGAGAAAGGTGTGTGCGATGAGACGATGTTATTCTGAATCAAAAAGGGATTCTATAGCAAGGTGTGCCCCATCTGAATGGTTGTGGTGTGGCATTTTCTCTACAAGGTATGATTCTTAATAATACTGTCAGGTCTCTATATTGAAAGATATTGAAAGCATGTTCCACTTTCTTCTGGTCATCATGGACAAAGGGCCTCCTGTTTAGGTCTTGAGGCTGAACCTCGGGTCGCAGATCCGTGGGACTGCCATGTCCATGACGAGGTCGTTGCATTCTTTCGTCCTTGGCCGGTTTTGGACGGTGAACATGGAGGACAGTGACGACCCAGACGTCCAGTTTGACTCTTTGTGGACCGACCTCGGGTCCGGAGGGTCGGTGAGAGCATTCTTTTCTGATTCTAAGGGGTGACAGGTTGATAAACAATGATACACCTATCCCAGACACGACCCGGACCTGGGACTGAAAACGGACGGACTGCCGATCAGTCGCGGCCGAGAAACGGGGTGGTGGTTGGAAGGGGATCGACCTCTGGGGCGGCAGTCCGTCCTGGCAGTCCCATGGGGGTCCCTAGAATTCATGTGGTCGGGACGTGAGGCAACGAATGAACGACGATCAGAACGGACCGAAGATCCCATTGGCCCAACTTGAGGAACAGACCGACTCCATGGGTTTGTTGAATCAATACTCCCCTGGATTTCTCAATACTCCCCTGCACACCATCAGACCGAAGCGGAGCCGAACGAACCTCGCTGACGCCACAACCGCCGAGGCGCCCGCTGTCCCAGCCCTTCCATGACCTGGGCGGCCCCAAGTTCCACGGCACGGACGGTCTCGGAGGCGCCGCGGAACCGCGGGTTCGACTAGGTCCGACTTCATGGGTGGGGCGTTTTTTTTTCTGGTACGCGAAGGTGATCGAGGCATTGGGTCCAAGGTGGAAACACTGTGAGTTACATTCGATCGAATAGTTGTGGTGATACGTAGCCTATTTGATCTCCGTTTCGTGCGCCACCATGCACGGCATGCCACCCCACCGCAGGCGCTTATCGAGCGGCTCTTCCACCTTCACTGGCCGTGAATCGTTCCATGAGTGCCGCGGAGTTCATCGTGCATGCCTGTCACTCGGTCGACCGCCATCGCGAAGCGCGAAGCGCGAGGCGCGAAACTCGATGCGCGAAACTGGGCGATGCGAGGATCATAGATTTGTGGCGCGAAGTTGGTGAATGCGTGAAATAGCATGACATCCTGTCGCTGGTGTTCAGTTGGGATGTATACACACACAAGGTCGATGGTGAGAAATGATTCCATCCGGAAGTGATGCAATTACTGCAACATGCTGTTCTTCTATAAGATTCTACAGTGCCATTCAGGGCAGCTTTCCGATGGAAGCCGAATGACATGTACAGTCATCCAGGCAACATTGCTTGTGGCGATCAACCCGCTACAAGGTTTGAATAATATTATATAATAGCGTTCTATATTGTTTTATTCGCGCTGCGGGTGCTCTTATGCTAGCTTGAGGACATGTTCTACAAGTAATTGTCAGGTTAACCTTTCCTAATAATTCATGATCCATTGACCTGACAATTACAACCCAAACTTCTCAAGTTTCTGGTGTCATTGCCTTGTTTGGTCAATGTGATCCAAACTTCTCGGGTGTCAAACCCAGAACGCTCCCTTCACAAGAGCATCGGTCGCACCGGTCTCGATCGGTCGCTGCGGTCGTTCCTTGAAGATCCAACATCGGTTGGTCGGTGCGGTCGGACCTCCGGGAGCTGGATCTGGTCATGCAAAAGCAGTACCTGGAGTCGACCCGGAACTCGTACCTCGGAACATGGGGACGACTGATCGTAGCTGAATTTTTAGGGGGTCAATGAACTGGAAATTCTGGTTCGATGGACCTGCAGATCCGATTGTTCGGACTACCCTTGGAAGACTACTTCCGTTCATCATTTTTCCTTTACAAAACAGGTGGGTATTCCACTTCCATGTGCTGTGTTCGGAGTGTAGACCAACTACCCTACCATACCACTCCTGCCCGAGCTTCCCCCATGACCGCCATGCCCCCCCACTACTTCGGACCCTGCTGTTGAGGCCGCCACGACGCGTCCCCCAAGCCGCCGCTCTTGGTGTCGCTCGCGCCCTTGACGAACGTGGCCTTGGCCTTGAACCTGGAGCCGCGGCTGCCGGAGCTGTGCCCGGCTCCTTGGCAGGTGACGTCCGGCGCTGCGCCGAACGGCGCCGAACTGCGCCGAATCCAGGTGGTCCACTTGAGCCACGGTGGTTGCTACAGTCATGTAGAGGGCGGGGCACTCAGTGGGGCAGAGACAAAGCAGGCCCAGCCTCAGTCGGCCATATCTCTCAAACACTCCATGGGGCTGCAATATTTGCCGATCAGTTGGGGTCAGCGACTTTCGTGGCAGGCCTTCTTTTCGATATGTCTGCAATAAACTGCAGGGATCTTCCATGGGGGTATATACCGGGTAAACTATAGCATCTAGTCCCCTGCAGATTAGCATGGAACCCCAAAACCACTGGGTTGTTGAGGAACATGGTCTTCCACCGGTGAATTCTTTGGTTCCATGTTATTTTGCGGGAAGGTAGTCCACAGCAAACCTTCCTTCACTCGTCACTATAGTCCGGAGATTGCTTTTTGGTTCACACTGCACTGCTAGAGGCACTTCGTGCCCCAAGCTGGCTGCAGGATCTGCAGGATCTGCAGGATCTGGTTCTTTTTGATCGGCCAGGGTAGATTTCAGCTTCCTTCCTTCAGTTCCTTCCTTGGAAGTTGTCATCCTTTCCAGCCCCTTGGCGGGGTGTCACCACACCGGAATCGACTCAAGACCGAGGTCAGAGACCCGACCATCGGTTGGGTCACCGGTTGGGTCGCTGGAGGTCGGACGGATCTCCGAATTTCGGTTTGGGGTGTGTGTCTTGGAACCGGGAGACCTCCCAAGAAATCGGGGGGGGTTTTGGGCCTATGTCACAGATGTCCCTTCTTTCCACGGATCTCATATCTTCTAGAACTCTTCGGTCATGAATCATGCGCCATCAGGACTTGTACTTGATGGGTGGTACCGTGCTCGCCCCGGGCAACGTGGGCTTTCTCTCCGAGGCGCGTTTCGCGTTTCGCGGCATGATCGAGAGGGATCATCTGCCTGCCGTGGGGGATTGCCGTGCTGCCGTGCTGGCGTGGGTTGAGAGTAAATGGCACATTCCACAGAACAGACTACCAAGAATGAACAGAACCGACTACCTGGGAGGTCAACCTACTCTGGTTTGGGGCTTTGGATTTTGACCCACTGCCAAATGGCACATTCCACTTTACGGTCCCAGTTCCAGGAGTCACATTCCGGGTGCCGAACTTGTAGGAAGTCGGGGTGCACAACTTCCCACTCACTGTCTCCACCCGGGCCCTTTGTGACTCCAAGTTGCTTGGTCGATTTGGAGACACGGGAGACACGGGAGACACGGCACAAGGTTGCCCCACCAGGCACATGCACCACATGTTCGAGTCACAGGGAATGTGCGAGTCTTTGGGGCTTTCTTCCAATCCCACTATCTCAGTTCAAACTGCCAGCACCACCCAAGGGGTGGATATTAGATGGAAAATACATCTTCAGGGGGGTCTATAAACCACCCGACCTGGGTGGTGCTGGTGGCTTCTACTAACTGTGGGCCTTTCTTTCTGGTTCAAAAGACTCGAAGAAGCTTCATGCTTCAAGACTACTATCTTTGTGGTACAAGTCTGGCTTCTACTGTAGAGTAAGGCCTATCAAGGACTTGATGTCGATGTGTTGAACAAAAACAACTAAATACACCAGATGGTCTGACAGCATGAACTTCCAAAGCATGTCTACCTCAGATCTTCCATGGTCACAAGCACTTAATAAGCAGAGGTGAGCTTCGACCGCAAGGGGTCCAGAAATCGAGCAGAACCCATCTTTAGAAGATCTTTTCTCATGTGGCCTTTCGACGCTTCACACCCAACTCTCTTTTCAACACTCGGAACGTTCCGCACGACCTCCCACCCCTGCGCACGACCTCTCTTTTCATCCACCCGACCTGCTCGAACGGCGCCCGGGGAGGCCAACGTGGCCAACGACCCGGAGGCCGCGGCGCGGGTGCTCTCGGCGGGCTTCCACACGCGCGTGGCCGGGCTGGACGTGACGATGGCCACCTGGCGCCTCGGAAGACGGGAGGAGCGGAGGAGTGGGTGGAAGACTCGGGGAGCAGGAGGGCTGGAACTATATAGGTAGATATCGTTGGTTCCTGGTATGCATAGCATACCATAATTAGCAAAGACATGCAAAAACCCTAAGACCTGGTGTTGAAGTTCTTGAGCCCTTGTTGTCGCGTGGAATTATTGTTCATGCTTGAGCATTGATTCTACTTCAGAGCTCCATGTTTTGAAGCCTTGGCTTTGGCAAATCCACTCGCTTAGGAGGTGAAGGGCCAGGGTGCCCATTATCTCACTTCGGGACTAAACACCACCCCTTGGTCACTCCTGGATATATACTCTTTTTGGAAAAACTCCAAAACTCCTTTAGCGTCTCCATTGAACACCCCGCACGCAGAACTCGTTGTGCTTGCCAGGCTTTCACACAGCTTCCTGGCATCGCTACAAGACCTGAATGTCGCAGGCGCCAAACGTGCCAAAGGACGCCATGGAGTAGGCCACACCTGTTCGCAGAGGAAAAGGGTCATCCAAGGGGCCACAGGCCACGCCATCCACTTGCACAATGATTTGAGGGAGTGTATACCAGCATCTTCATTACGGGGTCACCTGGCTGGTTCCGCCCCAGCCCACTACTAAGGTACCTCCAGACAGGACACCCCGAAAGAAGGTCCAGGTATATGATATTGTGATACATTGTGATGCATATTTTTTCATTTGTTCGGATGAAGAAATCCAAAGGTATGGCGACAGGTGGGCCATCCATGTCGCCATTCCGACGTTTGTGCACCGCCGTATGGGAGCTCCGCATCGAACGAACCACCCAGCCACGGACGCCACAAGCGCCGGGCAAAACTCGCCCTTTCCGGGTGCCGACCGAAACCTGGGGGAGTGGTGTTGTCTCACCCAGACGAGAAGTGACCTGGGTCGCGTCTGGGAAGATGGATAGCGGAACACGATCGTCCGAGGTTTTTCGAATAAAACTCGTTGATGCAAAGTCGGCCAGGCCACCGAAACCAGGAAACATAGGCATAGAGCCTTCCATTTAAACATGCTTCACCGGGCTTTGTAGTGTAAAATCCTTAGTAAAGCAGCTGGTTGTTCAGGATTCTGGCTATTAAATGGCGGGCCCCGAATCCATAGACATTTTCCTGCCAGGACAACACTCCCACGGCCTTCCTTCCGCCTCCGTCCGTGCCGTCCCCCAGGGACCCGCTAGGCTCCTTCATTTGGAACATCACCCGCTTCTACGAGCGCGCGCACCATGAACTGGCGGGCTTTGAGGGTGGCATGCCACTCCATGACCCCAGCACCTTGCTGATGTTCCTGCAAGAGAGGACGTCACCGGTCGTCCGCGACCCGCGCCACCAGTGTCGTAGCGACCAGGTGAAGCAGAGTAGTCATGTCCACGTCGCGTGAGTCATGGAGTCCGACCCAGACGGAAGAGGGCATGCCATTGCGGACAGCTGCAGGGCTAAAGGAAAGGTGGAAGACACGTGTTGAAGCAAAGCCACCCAGCAAAAGTCAGCGCATTTTGGAGCCGATTGACCCTCCCACCCGGACCCTGGCTGTGTGGTGCTTGGCCTCTCCCACCTGGTTCCTGTGGTGTGTGGTAAATGCAGTAAAGGGCCAAACGCACTATGGAACACCACTGAATTTGATGCTCGCACGAGCTCTTTGCTTAAGTGTGTATGAACCCTTCAAAATCAGAGGGAGCCTTCTGCGTAGGGCTTAAAAGCAGGGGGACTGCCTAACTCGTGCTATTGATGTGTGTATGTGACCATATGTGCCTGGACTCAACCCTCAAAGTACCTTAGAAAAAGGGACATGCCCCCATTAAAAAACAGGTACTTGTACCATCTTGTACCCTTTGTCCGAGGTACGAATGGGTCGACTCCAGGTGTGTGTGATATATGCCTGAGCTTGTTCTAAGTGTGGAAGTGCGCCAGGAGTCTCATGGAGTCGGCGTAGGGCGTGGCCACCGTCCCATCCGCACCCCGATGTCGTCGCTCGGCTTCAGGAGCTACGAGCTGAAGCGTTGGCCGGTCTGGGTGGATACCTCGCCGTTCCCCTCGGTGCCATGGAGCCATGGAGCCGTGGGGATGGGGATGGGATCGTTCATCAACCAGACACGACACTCCATGGGGGCTGCCAGGACGGACGGCCGCCCCAAAGGTCGACCCCCATGGCACCACCTCGGTCAGCCGCGTCGAGAGGCAGTCCGTCCTGGCAGCCCCAAACAGGTCGTGTCTGGGTGGGGGGACCTCCCCAACCAGTCGTGACATCTCCAGCCCCCGAGGCCGGTCCCACCAACACGGTCTGGACGGGAGGTCTCTCTATTGGAGGATCAGATCCATGTGGGGATGGGTTGTTGGCCAAACAAAAGCTGTTCCGTTTGGATGACACTCCCAGCTGAGCTGTGCGTTGGCCGACGTGGATCGGGCCCTTGGCATGGAAACACCAAACAGGTGAGCGTGAAGTCCACCATGTGACGTGCTCGGATGACCCGGGTTGTCCAGCCAAGCGGTAGGCGTCTTATTCTACGACGATGGGTGATTGGGGTGAAAGGATCGTTACACTGGTTTCAGTGCTTCGATGGCACAAGCTAGTCCAAGTTAGGTGGTTTATATGGATGGACCCCCATTATCCTCCATTTGTCTAAGACATGTAGGGGTATGAGGGTATGTAGGGGTGCCAATGCCATCAAACCTCTGAAACCACTCGCACCTTTGAGTGCTTGCCCGGCGCTTTCTTTGAACATGAATGGAATAGGGGTCAGTCACAAGACCGATCAGTATTTGAGTGTGTCTATCTTCTGGATTGACCAACAATGCGTTCCTTTATTTCGTTGTTGTTGATGTAGCAGTGGACATCTTGTGCGACCAAAGGGTCTTCCACTACATGGGGCCTGTCATCATTGAGCCTTTGTTCTTCTTCTTTGCATTTTTTCCCTCAACCAACCACTCCTCCTGCAGAAGTGCCATTGTCTTGGCCATTCACACAAGCAGCAGCTGGGAGATTGGGTTGTTACTGGGCTGCTTTTGAAGAAATTGATCAGTTGATTGCAAATAGATATTGTTTCAGGGTTCTGACAAGTGTCTACGTTGACCTTTAGCCCCAAGGTTCCCATATCCAGCCACCAATGACCCAAGTGACCCCCGGTCTCTAGGGTTGAAAGCGTCTTTTCTTCAACGCCTTTCTTTCTGGTGTTCTTCCATCTCCTTTGCCATCACTTGCACTCGAATTTGCTTGCATGCCTTTCCATTAAAAATATGGCCCATCTTCCCCTTTATTTCGCCTGGACCATCCACCCAAAAACCAAAAACTGCACGACACCCCCCAGGGGTCCATCGGGGTCTTGCGCCCTTGCTTCTCCAGGTGAGCCGCGGCCTGATGTTGCCCGATCGCCGCGGCGGTCCGCTGAGCCCCCCGCCGCCGCGCGACGCCACGGCCGGGGGGGGGGCGGACCGGGCCGTGCGGAACGAGCTCGGCGTCGGATGGGAGGGCGGACGGGGTGGCAGGCAGCGAGTAGCCTTCTAGTACTCCTTCTAGTTTGGAGCTGAACTGCTCGACAATCTTCCCCTTGAATCTGCCCCTTTCAACCGGGGGCCAGGAACACGGCGAAAGGGAGGGCGGGCGGAGATGGTTTTGAGATGTTTTGAGAGATTTGGGTGGAAATGGGGTGAAGGATTCTGGGAAGTTCTGGTATTAGTTGGCGGCGGGACGGCTAGAAAGCGATTTGGCCATGGAAATAGTGGACAGATTTCTCGCCAGAAGGGGCAAGGATAAGAACCACTCATTTTTGACAATCTAAGAACCAGGATACCTTCGATTTTGGCTGACAAAGAACATGTCAACACCAATTCTTCGCGCTTTTGTCCTCCCAAAAGCAGACCCCTTCAATCGATTTGTTTGTTTGCAGGCCCAATATAGCACACCAACCTTCTTTGGGAGAAAAGACAACAAATTCGTTCTATGATTTTAAAAAATACCCAGGAAGAACCTGAATCATGGACCAGACTGGAAGACTAGACTAGTTTCCTTCACCACACAAGCGGTTTTCCATGTTTTCGGTGCACTTCGGATACCGACAGGTGCACTTCGGCATGTCTGTGAACGCCACCAGCGTCCGGCAGCTGCTGCGCGCGCGCATTGCAGCCACATCGGCGGAGTTCGAATGACACAAGGAGTGACCTTGTGAACTGCGGTGAACTGCGGATCAGGTTGTTTCTATTTTCTTTGTTCCCTCCTCTTGGGTAATATTGTTCATGTCAAGTTTCCTGGACAGCAAATCCAAGCTGATGAGGGGAGAGGATGGCAGAGGAATCGGCCGTTTATAGTCTTGAAATCCACTTTATGAACTGAACTCTGGCACTGGTATGAAAGGAATCCATGTTCTACATGGCGTAGTTCTCTCTAGGCATTTTGGCAGGTTCTTGGTGCCTGCCCCAACCAACATGGGTTCTCCAATGGAGGGTTGGGACCCTGAACAGATCAGAAGACCTTTTGAGGGTCTGTGATTCTTATGGTGGGACATATCCATACCCAGACACTCCATGTGTGCCATATATGCCCACATTGGGGTGGTTTTAGGGGGTCAATGCAAGCATATATGGCATACATAGAGTGTACGGGATATATGATATATAACATACCTCCAAATACCTAGCACTTCCGATGGTTGCCCAATGGAGACCTGCAAGCAAGTAGGGCAGGGTAGTCTATTGCTCACCCAGACAGGATGATCCTGGTAGATAGAAAGGTAAACTCTCTTGAATGTGTTGGACACCGTGCCACTTTCTACTTGCAAAACCCCTAAACATATTAAACATCCGAGCAAAGACATCCTTCCGAACGATCCCATCTTCCAGTCGTCCCCTCTTCCCCTCGGACCGCCGAACCGTCCAGGAGGGCGGTGACGTGGGCATCCAGGACCCGACCCGATCAGATCCCAAAAAGAGCGACGGAGCGCAGCGACCGGAGCGACGGCATGCGGCGTGAGCCGCTGAGCCGCTCGCTGCGGGCAGGGGGGGGGCGGGCAGAACAGCAGCCAATGGTTGAGTTGGAGTGTACTGGGAAGGTTTTCATTACTGTAATGAACCCAGTCTATTGAGTCTATTTCATAGTGTTACTGAATAACCCATACACTCCATGGGACTGGAATAGATGCCGCCCCATTGACCCCCCGGTCACCACCCCTGGCCTTCTCGGCAACCACTATGGCAGCCCCAGACAGGTCGCGTCTGGGTAATGTGAAATCTCAGGTCTTCGTGCTTCATTCATCTCCCTTGACACTCCATGTATGCCATATATGCCGATCAGTTGGGCCCCAACTGATCGGCATATATGGCAGTCTCATGGAGTGTTTGGGTCTTCTTTCCCAACGAACGCTCCGCGCGCCGGTACGACCCGCGGTCTCCGCCGCGTCCTGGCAGGTGAAACTCACACCGGTCCAGGCGCGCGAGTGGAGAGCGAGTCTCGTGAGCGGTGGCGTTGTTCGGGGTGAGTGGCCAGAGGTGATTCGATGGCGCGAAGCATCCCAACATCCAGGTGATGTGTTCGACACTGTGATGTAGGTGCCAGCCAGTCGGGTCCAGTCGTACCTTCTCAGAGAGTATGTGGATCCCTAGGGAGTCCTAACGTTTGACCAAACCCAGACGCGACCTGTCTGGGGCTGCCAGGACGGACTGCCGAGACGAAGCGGCCGAGAAACGGGGTGGTGGGGCAGTCCGACAGCTCCAAACAGGTCGTGCACCACCAAGTACTCGTACCAGGAGCTTCCTTTTCGGATCACCCATCAAGGGAGAGGGATCAAAAAAAAAAAATGAGGATCAAAAACGATGACCCTTGTTTGTTTTTCTTTTGATCCTCCACCCACCTATAAAGACATATAAAGACCACCCAAGACTGTCTTGGACTTCGGGATTCGTCCTGCCACTTCCCCAGTCCGGAACTGTCGAACGTCAGTGACCGCCATGGCCTTCCGACCTCGGGTCAAATTCCACCGGTTTTTGCGGTCAACAGGTTGCGGCAAACCGGTGTTAGCACATGGTGTTGAAACGTGCCAGGCGCCATGTGCCTCAGGATCCCCAAAAGACCGTTTGGGAGGTGTCCTCCCTTCGACCTATTCGACCTTTGTCAAGGGCTCGAGGGCCATGAGGGCCATGGTCGACCGTCGCGTTGCTTCATGTCGAAGATGATTTATCTCACTTGTCTAAAGACCAGGCACTCCATGGGACTGCCATATATGCCTACATTGGGGTGGTTTGGGGGGTCAAAGTGGGCATATATGGCAGCCCCAGACAGGTCGTGTCTGGGAAGGTTCTATAGGTACACAGCAATCCCCCTTGCCCCGAACCCGGCCAGGAAAAGACCATGTTTTGGCTCCAAGACAGGGGTCTAAGTATATGCATACACACGCACCCTTGGGGTGAACCTTTCGATAGCGCAGGAAAAATGGCTGGTTTCAGTGGGTTGAAGGTTTGCTTTTCTTTGCAGATCATGGTCCGACTTCTTTGGCTTTGTCCAGTGTGACACCTAGGTGACACACTGAGCATCGACATCTCAGCGGCCAAACACGATCTTCGCCGGACACGGCCAAAGACCGTCGCCAAGTCGCAAGGCTGGAAGCAAGTCCAAGAAGCTCAAAGTGCGACCCAATTTACTGCTGCAAGGCCGGAAGTGGAGATTGTCCCGGGTCATCCCGTGTCCTGTACGTACCCACTTAGCTAAAAATGTTCCAAACACACAGACAGGTCTTCCAAGTACGTTTCATCATGTTTCATCCACCCTAGGCTTCCAATTACCTTCTGAGAAGGTGGGACTGGGGTGGGTGCCAGGAGGATCCAGTCATACCTTCTGAGGAGGTACGACTGGAGGTGTAGGGCCCCCTTATAGGAGTGCTTGTGCACGACTCGTAGCTGAAGGACTTCGTCACAGCAACTCACTGGAAGCTCCGAAGTGTATCACTGCTGTGATCGGCTGAGTGACCTTCGTCTTTCTCTCTCAAACGGCCGGCGAGGCCGAAATACCAGCGGTCTGGCCCTTGGAGAGCTCCGTTTTTCTTTTTTTTTGATGCGTTTTTGGGTGGAGGCCAGAAGCTACAAACGGAACAAGAAGCTACTACCCAGACGCTCATGGACCCTCTTTAAGTAGGGGTCGGACCCTCATCTGGAGGGGTCCAAATCCCTATAGGGTTTTGAGGGACCCAAGGGCTGTTTGGAGCGTCTGGGTAGTACTCATATTTTTCCGAGTGCAGCGTCCCAACGTCGGTGTCACAACGTCAGCACTGACTCAAACTGAAAACGGTTCTTTAGAGCGATGTGTTCTCAATGGTCTTTACGCAATGAGGGCGACATTTATGTTTAGCAAATCTCCAGGTTTCTCCACGGTTTCTTCCAGGTTCGCTTGAAATCCTCACATTCCGATGAGATCTCGGCAGCCTTTGGGGGTGACACCGAACAAAAAAACACCGCCAGCCACAAAGGGGAAACGTCGCAGAGGAAACAACAAAGGGATGGTGGGGAGAGAGATGTGGGATGAAGAAGATGTGTCTGGACGTTGAAATGCCTAGACATTTCGTGATCTTGACGCTATGTTTGCAGAGGTTGAAGGACCCGAACGTGACTCACTATCCCAGTTCGGTACCCCAGGTTTTCCGGGTCCGACCGTTCAGGTCACTGGCTACCTCTCTTGCTATTGGGGTAGTTTTGGGTCAATGTATATGGCAGCTCCATGGAGTGTCTGGGGTATATTCCTGTCAGATGTCATGTCTCCAGGTATGTTTGCAGATCAAATCAGTATTAAGTATTGATCTCTTCGGTCTCCACGAGTGACGGGACCTGTGACCAGACGTGTGAGCCACCGCGGAGGTGGAACCTTTGTGCCTTCCACGTTGGTCCCGGGGCAGTGCTCGGCAGCACAACCACCTTTCCGGAGGAGATACTCAGGACCTTCAGTCCGTGACCTCTTCTGTTCGTCTCTGTTTGTGACCTCTTTAGGGACTGACCGTGACCTCATTCGATCTTAAGGACGGTCACGCTACTGAAGGTCCTGGCTTTTCCCTCACCAGTGAGATGAACATGGTCATTCAACATATTCAACCAACACTCCCAACTCACTGGAACTCGCCCTTCACCTCTTCGGCAACCCACCGATCTCGGCGTTACAAAACAGGCTCGAACCGATCTGGAGCCCCCGCCGCCGTCGGTCTGAGGCGCCTTCCCCATGGACCTGTCCACGGCATCGATGACGTCGGGGAGACCCCCGTAATTTACGGCGGTAGGTGGCGGAAGTGGCGGAAGTGAGTGTGGTGGTCGACCACGTGTTGCCCGAGGATTCAAACAACCATTGTCTTTTTTATGGTCTGAATCCCAAAGAACCCTTGTTTTCTTTTGGGATTTTTACACTACACCACCAGCTCAACCGTTCTTTTAATGGTCGAACTGAAGGCAAGCGGGCTTGGGATCGGCCAACTGTTGGAGGTGTTTCTGGAACTAACACGGCATACAAGGGGGGCCTCTTGGAGGTGTCACTATCTTTTTTCGGGTTCACCACCCCTTACATAGACCCCCGATAGTTAAGAGTAACATCCCTATATATTGGACACCGTTTCGATATTGGGGACCACTCGACTCCATGTGGCCCTGGCTACATGGAGTTCATTGGCCTCCTCTACTCTACGCGGTTTTCGTCCTCGGCTAACCTGCGGGTCGGGACAAACGGACCCGAAAAGCGAATGCAACACACCATTAGAAAGACAAACACACACAAGAAGGATAGGAATCCTTTTGTCCAATGATTTTAAGGGAACATCGGGGTCTCGGCATGGTCGACGAGCCTTGGGGGGTGAAAAGGGTGTCCTACAGAAACGCCAGGAGCTGCTAGCTAGCTACGTTCGTGGCTTGCTCCGTTCGTAGCTGGCCTCCAAGCTAGCGATGACCTCCACCCCAAAATTTTTTTAATAGCCTGAATCCCGAACAACCATTGTTTCACTAAGGGTTTTACTACAAAACCAGATCGTTCCCATTAAAGAAAATGGTCGACTTGACTTCCAGGGTCATGTTTCGCCGTCTGACCTTCGCCAAGGTCCTCTTGGTCGAGCTTCAAATCCAGCGCGAACAGCGTAGGTAGAGGCACGAGATGACCATTCCCTATAGCCTATAGCGCTGCCTATAGCGGCACGGCGTCGCGTTCCTTGGCTGGCTGGAACGAAAGACCTGCAGCTGCGGCAAGCAGAATTGCGGTTTGGAAAACCATGACACTCAGATTCAGAGAGAACTGCGAACCCCCCCAACCAAACAAACCATGTGAATCGTGAGAGAGGCAGGACACATGACCTGACGACGGGAGTTCGTTCCCCACGAAGGAGGTCACCTCGTACCGGAAGAAAAGCAACACTCACCGGTTAATAAGCTGGTCTTCACCCCCATGTCACTCGCCTCCTTGGCGCCAAGGAAAACCAGAGAGAGTGACAAATGAGGAGGTTTTCGTAGTGGACTGTGAGGAGAACTTCATAGTCATACTGTAGGATCCTGGTCTGACAAATAAATGACAGGGGCGTGCTGGCAGACTAGTAGCTATATAAATTCACACAGGGATGTCATAGTAGTCAAGGAGAACCATACAGAGATCCTTTTTGGATTTCTATGAACCATGCAGTTGGTCTACAGTTTCGAAGCCATCGACTCCAATATCCAAACAAGTTCCAAAATCGAACGGCCCAACATCGACTCACCCTGAAATGGCTCAAACTGATCGAAAGCGTCCATGTCCCGGTGCCCAAACGAACGAAGAGGTCTCGTCCGACTGGTCGAACCATTCGTTTCCAAACCGCCCAAAACACCGCCCAGTCCCATGGCCTTTCCGAATACAGGTCCGTTGGACCTCGCTGGAGTTGGGTCATATACCCTAGGGCTCCTGTCCCATCTCCTCAGGTTCGGTGGTTAAACCCCCCTGGCACCCACCCACCCTAACCACCTTCTCCTCACGGAGGTGGTGGGACAGGAGCCCTATAGAGATCGAAAAAACACCACCACCCATCACTCCTTGA